AAAAATCTTAAATATTAAATATCGAATGCAGATAAGGTAAACAACATGCAAGAATTGTGTTAGTTCCACTTCAGATACAACCTGAAAAATGGACAATTAACTTAGCCAACATTTTTCCTAACATCTTTGTGTTAATTTTTTTTCAGAAATGTAACTCATATTATTGAAACTTTGCTTTGGCCTATTATGATTATAGTATTAATCGCCACTCCCAAAATCTATTCAACATTCACTCTTAAAAATTACACCTCAGTGTAAACTTACGGTAAGAATAATTTCCACCATGGTGGATTCCCCATCTTCTCCCTTGTCAGTATGTAATAGGATAATGGGTGTAAAAGACCATCTATATATTCAAATGTCTAATTAGAGTGACATGAATTATAATGACAGAACATTTTTGCCATTCTGAGCTCGTTTGACAGGTTTGTGTCATTCTAATCTATACAAATCTGACATTTTTAGATGACCCCTAGTACACCTAGAGATTATCAAAGGGAAAACTATTTGAATAGCCCAACTCAGGTGTTTCTTATAATAGGCGTGGCCCACAGGATGAAAAAGGAAAGTACACACATGGACACTGATAGAAGGTAGCATACAACCAAAATCTCCATATTTTCTAAAACCATACCAAGTAGTCTAGTAGACGGGGGGGGGGATTCACCCATTAAAACTCATCAACAACTCCTATTGTATGTTCTGAAATGTATAAAACAGACTGTGGTGTTATTAAAGCTTACTGTCGCAGCAGATAAAAAACCGACCGTTGCTGTACTAATTAATCTCTGTAGTCGCACACCAAGGTGTCCATGCCATTCTCTGTAATCCAGCGCTTAGAGTCAAGGGAAGACCTTTGGTTGTAGCAATAGTCATACAGGAGGTCCTCTGAAAACTTCAGAATTCTCGTCTCAACATAGACAAGGCGAATGAGTATCAAACACTGCTTGTAAAATTGGATTGTGGCCAGATCACCATACATGAACAGAGCAGCATACATCAGCTTTCTTGTGGACATTCTTAACAAGCACATGCTCTGGTGCTATAGCCCTGGTGCCCTCTGGCTGGAAGGTCCAATACAACTTCTAAGAGCCTTTCACAGTAATCCACCAGTAGGCAGTGGTTGGCTCATTGACCATCCATACAGACTATTGGTATCTAGGTAGAGTACATAGATGTTAGGATTGGAAGATTTCATGGTTTTTATCCTTACCATGGTGCTTCAAGACCATGGAGATAACATCATACATGCCCACTTTGATAAAGAGACTCAGGTCCAGGTCATAATGCTTTATGCAGGTCTTATGAAAGGTCTAAAAGCCTTCTGCCAGGGGAACACTCGTACGATTGTAGAGGTCATGGTAGCCCTTCAGGCTTTGGATTACAAAAGTATCCTAGACTTCCTTTGCATGCATACTTACCTGACCAATCTTCGATAAACATTAGATTGGCCCTTGTGAGATCGCCTGGCTGCTGACTCAGTCTGTGGCCTATAACCCCCTTGTCCTAGCTAAAGACGTTCATAACGAGTTTTTTTTAAATGTATGATCGACTTATAATGAGCCATATCAAGATTTTCCACATAATTTACAACCCAAAAAGATCTTTTTTTCTGTCTATTTCTAAAGGTGCTCCTGGAGATATGGGATCTCCGTTTTTAGCGCCCAATTTATCTCACTGGCCTGCATAACAGTTTCCTGATTGCAATACTATAACTGGACACTGTGCAATTTGACACTTTCCAAACAAACCATTATTGTAACAGTAGCACATTTTAAGCGAATCCAATTATCCCGAAATAGTTCCAATTGTGTTTATAGGAATGACACAGAAACTCCGATCTAGCCTTTTTTGTCTTGTTATGGTGGGGCTAAACTGCATTACACGCCAATAATAACATATACATTGGACATATTCTCTATATAATAGACAACGAATTATACTTTATTTATAATATTAATAATAGAGCGTGTAATGTATTCTGAACTAAAATGAGAATAACATACAATACCAAGATATTTTTTTCTATTCGCTTTGCAATATGACATACACCACCACCACCAATATCTTATATTAACTTAAATTAAATGTTTCCTTAAGGATTAAAACAATCATCTATGGCGTAAATATTATCAATAATGCACTTTTCTGGCAATACTTGTACCTGCGTGTACGTTTGATTTAATACAAATATAACATGATAAAACAGAAACACAAGTAATCATGCAATAGGATTGCTAGTGCATATTCATGATATGAACAAAAATGTGTTCACAGAACCTATGAATGAAACATTTTGTCCGAAATGCTTATCCTAAAAGTTGCTGATTATCAACTAACTTTAAACTATGCTTATATATCATGTGCAAACATCTATAAAATATGACAGTATATCTAGCATAACAATGCTGTTGAATTTAATTTATGGAATAACCTCGTATCTATTATACAAACCCCGAATATGATGAATGAATTAAATACATCTTTATCAAATGTATACACTATTGACGCAATTGTTGAATCCTTCCCCACCAACTAAATTAAAATTATTTTGATTTTAACAAATATAACTACATAATCCCAGTTATACAACCGATTTTGAAATCAAATCCTGAACATTATTTGAAACAATATATATGACAAACGTATCAATATAAAGCATGTTCTTGACATTCTATTAGGGTAATAATCTAAAAACTGACTAAGATTGAATATTCAAACCAGTCGCTAACGACTGCCAAGTTTTCATGTAGTAATT